AGATGAAGGTGGAATGGAATTATTTGTGTACATGGAGTTAAGGATTATGTCAATAGTTTGATCAACAGCAACACTTGTGAATAAGTTTTCAATGTTAAGTGATGCTAGAATACCATGTGTTAGTTTTATACTTTTTAGAATTTGAAGGAATTCGTAGGTTGATGTGATGCTGTAATTGGTGGGGAGTTATGGAGTAATGATATCATTAAGGAATTTTGATAACTCATAGATAGGGGATGGGATCTGAGAAATGATTGGTCATAGTGGGTATCCAGTTTTGTGTATTTTTATATTTCTGTACAAGTATCCTGGTTGGTAGTCTGATGATTTTTTGATTTTCAGTTAACCAACACTGGTGTTATTCAATGTTATCAGTTTGTTGACAGATTTTTTTTTTAGGGTCTCCATGGGTTTTCTAATTTGATGAATTTAGATCGATCATCAGTGATGTTTTGTAACATTTAAATACACACAAAAACCTACTACACTCCATCTGAAACATACTAGTAGAAAATACAAGCATAATAATCTTATCCATATGTAAAAAAAGATTAAAAATAATGAGAGCCCTAATAATAAAAAAGAAAAAGCCAACACTCAACAACATTAACTGTGAACATGGCCACAGTGTGCTGACTGCGTTTGGAAAATAAAACATCCCTGTAACTCTAGATACATACGTAACACAATCCATATATTCAGTTAAATGTAAAATAAAATCATCCTTGCTAAGGGATAAAAGTATTTTTGAAAGTGCTTGAAAATGAAAAACTTTTGGACAGTTTTTAAACACTTTGTATCCAGAAAAGAAAACACTTGTATGAACAGAAGAAAAATTAAAAAGCTTAATTGCAGTATCTTGTCAATTGTCTTTAATGAAACATGTAATATATATATATATGTGTGTGTGTGTGTGTGTGTGTGTGTGTGTGTAAAGCTATACTTTACACACACACACACTAATAGTGAGTGATTGAATGATAAAATGGAAAAAGTCTTATGTTATGCAAAAGGATTTTTCAAACTAATAATTGTTTCATCAATGAAGTTTTATGTATAAGAGAAAATGAAGAAATACAACAAATGCCAGTTAGAAGCTTACATAGAGAAATGTTAAATATACATGAACACTTAGTTTTAAATCCTGATGTTTTATATTTCAGGACTATTTCAAAATGTTTGAATTTCTAAAATTTAGGGTGAAATGTTAAAAGTAAAACAGCACACTTAATAAATGACTTTCATTAATTTTGTAGCAAAAAATATTACATTTGCTTCTAGTTTAAGTTTTCTTAATAGTAAACTAAAATTCTAAATATTTTTTAAACAACTTTTAGAAAGAAAAATGCAAATTACTCATAAAATATTAAATTTTATTATCGATAGTTTTGTTGTTATGAATAACAATATCAAAGAGAAAAATATTAAATTAACATTATGTGAGAAATAAATTTCTCAGTGTAAAAACAAAATTGAAAGAGAAAGTCTTTGGCAGAAAAGTCTATTAAAAGTTAAATGTAACAAAACATTAATAAAATTAACTTTCTTCAGAGAGGATTTGTATGAAGAAAGATTAGAAAAAAAAAATTGAATTAATAAATTATTCCTTTAAATCAATTAAAATTACACCTTTTCAGTTAGAGTACAACTGCTTTGTCTAAATCTTCAAATTTTCAGTGTAAAAAGTTACATTATGATACAAGAACTGTGATAACAATTGTACATACTTTTTACCAATTAAAAACAGAAATACAGTCAGCACAAAAAAATAAAACTTTTCTTTAGTGTATTTGCTTTTATGAATAAAAATTTTAAATTAACTTCCAAATGACAAGATGAAATTTTTTTAGTTAACTTTACACAAAATAATATAGCAAGTCAAAAGGAAAAAAAAATGTATCTTCAATTAAATTAGCTAAAGTTATCCTAAGTGTAAATGCAAAGGTTTCTTTGAATTTCTAAACCCTAGTACAACAGTAAACTACCACAAACCCAAACTAAAATGCTTTTCTCCCAGTGCAACAAGGAACTTTTTAAAAATACCTCCAGTTTTGACTTAGTTGTACCATGAGTAGGCCTGCAGTATAGAATGCCATGCTAAATTTTAATTAAATTTTTGGTGTCTGATGTATCTAGTGGCATAACCTAACAACCTCATTCAGTTTACTTATTGCATTTGATTAGATTTTTATTGCTATTGTTTCTACATATCCCATACTGTAATAACAATAGGAAAGAAGATATGTTGCAGGATTTGGGATGTAAATTTTCTGTAGACAATTCAAAAATTAGTGCGCTTTCAATACATTTTCATCTTAATAAATTCTTCTTCTTTTGTGTGCCGTGTTCCTTCAAGATATAGGCAATCAAGTTTCTCCACTTCCTCCTGTTCTGCCATCCACTTGCTTAAGCCTGCTAAGTATGTCATGCATTGCTTTTCCTTGTCACTCTTTCCTTCTATTCGCCCTGTGAGTATCAGATTTTCCAAGCTTTCCTTTCTCATTACATGTCCCAGAAACTTCAGCTGCCTCTTCCACATGTTAAGTATAAGTTTCCTCTTTGTTTGCATCCTCTCCAAAACCTCATCATTGCTCCCATGTTCAGTCCATGGTATCCTTAGCATCCTTCTGTAGAACCCTACCTCTGTTGCTTAAAGTCTCTTGTTCATCTTTGAGGAGACTCTCCAACATTCGCTACTTTAAGTTGAAATTATGCTCAGACATTATAATGAATGACTAATGTACTAGTTATATTGTTTTGTAAATGATCCCTTTTGTGTTTATATAATCTTTTGTACAAGATCCTAGATGTTTCAGCTATGCATTAGTTTTCTATTTCACCATTCAATGAACATTGTTTTCAGGCATGAAACAGACTGTTTCCCACTTACTGTTGACCTCAGTGTTCTCTCATACACTGAAAAGTTATATTCTGAACCACTTTCCAAAATCTGAACAAAGACCAAATGGTTAAACATCATATTTTTGGTCAGGTTGAGAACCTTCATGCTTTAGATAAAGCTAGATAAAGATTATATATAATTTTTTTTCTTTTTCTTTTGTAACGTATGTGTGCATTATATATGGGAGTTGGTTTGTATGTATAGCATCATACTTTAAGTTACAAAAGGAAAAACTAATATTTATCTGTCTGAAGATTCTAAAGTATATTTTCATACTCACATACACATTATATATATATATATATATATATATATATATATATATATATATATATTTTGCATAATATACACATTTGTTAACCTATAAGAATCATTATTTACAAATGTATTTCAAAGACAACTACTGAGTGTGACAATTGAGTCCCATTTCAGGATTAAGGATTCTTCATATACCAATGCCTTAGATATTTGTATAATTTATTGTTAATGTACATCTTATATGCTGGCAAATAAAAATAAAAATTATGTGTATGAGGGAGTACTGAAAAATTCTCAGCTCAATGAAGAGATTTTAAAATAAATCCTGTTTGGTCATTTGGCAAGATTGTGGAAGTGGGTCGAGACCAAGAACTTTTCAGCACCTCCTTTTATTTATATATATATATTTTCAAATGTTTAGCACCTGTATATGTATATATTTTAAAGAATACACACACTTTGGAAAAGAAGTATTCTCAAAAAAGCATCTAGATTTCTTCTTTAACTTGACAAAAAATAAAGTAAATAGAGTCATATGTGTAACCATTTCCTACCACAGATGAAATGGGATCTCTTCCCCTAAGTCTCTAGACATTAAAGGTTCAAATTACATGCACATAATTTGCATTAGAAGTTAAAAAAAAAAAAACACTGAAAAATAAAGAGACTTTTTTGGGAGGAAGGTTAGCAAAGAAAGAGCATAGTGTAGAGTTAGATATTTTGTAAGCACCATATTTGAATTTACTTTTATGAAGTTCATGACATTTTGATATTAAAAAAAACTAAAGATTTTTTTCTTAATCAAAATAAAAAGAAGTGATGTGAATTTTCATCAATGAAAATTAAAACAGAAAAATCTTCAGTTGATTTTTTTCCCTTCCTATTTTCAGAGGAGAGCCTCGCAGCAAGAAAACACACTGCTTGCACGTGATGCAGAAGACAAATACACAGTCAAGGTTTATATCTTTATCTTCTCAAAAAAAATAAAGAGATTATTTATGAAAAAAAAAAAAAAAAAAAAAAAAAAGATGATTTTCTTGCAGATAAAACATCATTTCTTTCATACTGAAAGTTTTTTTTATACAAGAAAAACCTGATTTTAATGCAAATATGATGTTTACATGCAGGGATCTATAGAATTAGAATTGTCTCTCATTTATTTTTGGTGAGAAAGAAATGAAGAAAATGATGGTAAAGATAATAGAAAAAAGTGAAGGAGTATAAAAAAAAACAAGTGAAAACTATTGGAGATAATCAGTGTGCAGATTAAAACAAGATTATTATAGTGGAGAATTAAAACAGATTATACTACTTCCCAGAATTAATAAAAATAATTTAAATTCTTTTTTTTTTTTTTTTGACCAATTCCCATAAATTTACATGATAAAAATGAGAATTTTCATTAAACTCATTTTAGCAATCTCTTCAACAGCTTTGATCAGCTGACAGCATTTTTAATTTTGATTGGTTAATATTAGAAACAAAGGCTTATATACAGCCAATGGCAACATTATTTCTTTACTGTTTATTTTTTTTTCATTTTTCCATTTCTTTTTATATTTCTTACCACCTCTTTTATAAAAATGATTTTTTCTTTATTCTATTTGCTTTTTATCTTCCATATCTCTTTCTCTTGCCAAGTATACTTTCTTTCATTATTTCTTCTTTTTTCTTGCTTTTATATTTTTCATTTTTTTGTCTTTTTTCTCTTTTTTGTAATTTGCAGGCAAAACCCCAAATCTCCAGTGTAAATAAGTAAGAATCAAAAATTCCAATAATGAAAAGATGTGATGAGGATGAAGAGGAGAAAAAAAAAAACAAATTCTGCATAAAATCTTACCTCACTAGGAAGCTGCAACTCTGACCTATCTTCTTGTCCATGATAAAGGCCCATAATAAAGGGCACTGGTGCATCCAAGAAGTGAGATAAAGATGCCGGAAGGATGGGCACATAGACATGCTGCCACGTAAATGGGAAGATCACAATTGTTAAAGCCTCAGCCACTAGCATCAGTTTCTGGTAATCTATAATAAAAGATAGGATAAAAGAAGATTACAATTCTGGAATTAATAGACTAGCCATCAATGATCATCAAAATTTTATAGTCTTTGATTTATTTTTTTCCACCTACCTCTGAATAATAATGGTTCCTTAAATATTATCAAAGGATTAAACTATCCATGTTCAGAGATTTAGCAATATTATTTAAGTAACCAGTATTTGGTGAGACTGTTGGTTTACCTAATAGCAAGTCTATGTACTGATTAATAAAATCATTATTATTGAATATCAAAAGAATTGTAATAATAACTAGCAAAGTATTCATGAAAAAATGAGATAATTTATGTATAGACCAGTATTTCTGCCTTGGATCAAAGTGTTGCTCTCTGGCCCTCTGTGAAGATGTAAAAAGTGTCTCTCACACACATGCACACAAATATACATTGTTGATATTGACATTCATAATTTATGATGTTGGTCTTTAACAATTCTTTGTACATATGCCTATGGCCTAGAAATCTCAATGCCAAGAGAATGTTTTCAACCTTGGAGCCAGTCGCCAGGAGTGACATTGCACAAAGAGGACAAGAAATGAATTCCAAAACTTAAGTGCCTCAGAATGGGGTAATGTTTAGCAAGGATAGCCTGGATGGCCATTACTAATGAATAATAAGTTTCATCCTCACTAGGTATCTGATAAAATTTGATATTAAATGGCCAAACAAGGGTTGACATGCAGTAAAATCAAACGATACAAAAAAAAATTCTGAAACATTTGAGAATACAAATAAAAGAAAACAAAGGAAAAAGAAAGAGAGAAAGAAGAAAGAAAAATAGAGAGAAAGAAGAAAGAAAAATAGAGAGAAAGAAGAAAGAAAAATAGAGAGAAAGAAGAAAGAAAAATAGAGAGAAAGAAGAAAGAAAAATAGAGAGAAAGAAGAAAGAAAAATAGAGAGAAAGAAGAAAGAAAAATAGAGAGAAAGAAGAAAAGAAAAATAGAGAGAAAGAAGAAAGAAAAATAGAGAGAAAGAAGAAAGAAAAATAGAGAAAAGAAGAAAGAAAAATAGAGAGAAAGAAGAAAGAAAAATAGAGAGAAAGAAGAAAGAAAAATAGAGAGAAAGAAGAAAGAAAAATAGAGAGAAAGAAGAAAGAAAAGGATGAAAGAAAGGAAGGAAAAGATTAAGGAAAGAAGGAACAGATGAAAGGAAGAAAATAGATAAAAAAGAAAGAAAGAATCCAATTCAAATTGAAAAGCAAGCAATGTTAAAATTACTACATAAATTTTTTTAGGGGGGCAAAAGTATAATAAAATAAATAAAACACTTCCAGATTAACATGTAACAAGTACTATAACTGATAATCATGTGCATGTACAAGCTTAATATTTTTGTTTTATTAAATCAAATACCATCTGAAGAAAACCCTGTACAAAACCACTCAAGTTTGGATCATTAGAATGTTGGTCACAAACTACAGTCAAGTGCTCATTAGCATACTGCATTCACAAGCCATTAATAGTGGGTTAGTTTATCATAGGGTACTACATAAATTTAGTAAATATCTTATATCAAGTGGCCATTCTTTTACAAAACAAAATAAATAGTGTGAATATTTGCAAAATGCTTTCTAGATTATCTTTTTCTTTTTTACTATTTTTTTCTTTCTACAAATGTTTAATGAAGCACCAAACATATTTTCAATTTGCATTGAGGCTTTTTTCACTTTTTTTCCAGCACCTGGCATTTTCAAATCATTTTCTCCCATATTCACTTAATTATTTGGACTATCCTCACCTTTTTTTCTTTTTTGCATTATCTGCAATCCCTCCTCACCATAAAAAAAAAAAAAAAGAATTTCAAAGTATTAGACAAAATCTCTTCCTTCTTTTAGCAATAACCAAAGCAAATAAATTAGAGCAGGTGTTTAAACAAATTTAGACAATAAGTTCAGAAGAACGGAACAGGTGCATAGCCTTGTTCCTAATGTTACTCTGCCACTTTTAAGCAAAATGAACCATGAACAATTTACAAACAAATAATCCAGTTATATTCAGTGTAAAATTATATTGCCAGAGACTTGCTCAGAAACCTGATGGATTTAACACTAAGTTGATCCTATGGATAATTTCACATTTGTCTCCAACAAAACAAAAGGAATGCAAAATCATCATCAATTAATTCAAATGTACATATATTGGCTTAAAAAAAAATATCTGCAAGGGGTTATTAATCTTGAACATCTCTGGTTGATAAATATAGTGGTGGGTATCACAACTTCACTATCAACTAAGAAAAAATCTTTGTAGACTACTTTTCTGAACTTTCTAGATTTCAATTCATTTTTCTTTTTTGATAATCTATTTTGTTTTGAATACAGTTTAATATCCCATTCATGCTTAGGGACATGTCTAACTCAAATTGTGTTTATTTGGCATTCTTGTGTATATGTAAAAATTAAGTTGTTATATATACAATAACATTCCCACATGTTTAAGTACTGGATGAAAGATTACCCAAAATAATTGGAATTATGTGACTCATTACTGGTCACAACTTTGAAAAGAAACATTGGGTTATTTTGAACTTGTACTCTCAAATCATGGCACATATTCAATTGACCGATTTGTATTTTTTTTTTTCAGTGACAAGTCATAACTTCTGTAGAAATGTGTTTCATTTACAATTTTTAAAAGATTTGCTAGTATGAAAAAAAAACAATTATTTTAGATATCTCATCAATGGTCTGATAATAGTCAATAAATATAATAATCTGCATCAATTAGGAAGACAGAAAAAATATAAATGTAGACATTGTAAGGAGGCTTTTTCATAGTAAATTTAACCAAAATGTGTAATACATGTAACACATCCTTTAGAATCTTAGATAATCAGTTAACAGAATATTTCATTCTAAAAAAAAAATCAAATAAAAACTACATTTCATTTCTGGTCGACTGCATGGACATATAATTAAATTAAAATAAAATAAATTAAAAGTAAGAAAAGCTAGTTTAATGTCTTCCCGAAAAAGAGAATTAAAAATACTTTTCTTTAATATTTATAATTTTTTTAATCATATTAGAATGACTTGCAAGATCATATTAATTAAAACCAGAATTAACTGAAAAAGTAATAAAATAAAAATTCTTTAATAAGCGTTCATAAAAATATAGATTTTCAATGATAAAATTATTCTTATCTGACCTGAGAAGAGTTAACACAATACATTTATTTGTTGATTATAGATAAATTTAGTGAATTTTAATTTATTTATAATGTGTGTGTGTATATATATATATATATACTACTACTGGTAATTGAGCTGTTGCTATATAATCCGGGTGGATCCTAGTAATATTAATTATTAAAACTGATCCATAGAGGGCTCAATGAAGCTTATTTATGGCCAGAACCCTTGTTGCTTGTAGTTTTATATCAGTTCCTACTGTGGGATGTTTCTTATACAGGCCCCGAATGTGTATTTCTGGGATTCACAGTAAATAGTTTTTGTCCTACAGGTGTCCAATATTAAGCGATGGGGGATTTAGACATAAGCCCATTAGGATTAATATAAATTAGTTGAGTTATAGATTTATAAATTGTGGGTAATACTCAAGCACCCAATGGAATAAATCATGCTGTCCAATATACTTATCTGCATACATATCTTCATACATGCATATATATACATTTACATGTCCATACATATATACCAATATATGGACACATTCACCCCCACATATATGCACATGTATTCTTATGTAATTAGGAATTTTTTCTTATGTCTACATTTTGTGATTAGTTCTCTCCAATGATTTAATAGTTTGCATTGATCTTTATATTTTATTATCCTGATTTTTTCTTCTAAACATAGTTTGCATCTATCCCTAAAACTATTGGGGGTGTTCACAAAACCTAGAATTTTCCAATTTATTTGAGGATTCAGACCATTTTCCTTCAATTCCCAAAATTTTTTCAAAGGGCTGTTTGATGTTTTAATTTTGGATTGGTGAATGAGTGTCTATGTGTATTGATTCTCTTTTTAAATTCTCCTGCAGAAATGCTGATGTAAATATTATGGTTTGTTGTATTTTCTTTAGGGGTAATGGTTGCCTGGTATACTAACCTAGCGGATCTGCATTTGCACTCTACTGAGAAATTTTCCTTAGTTCTACCATTACAGGGGGTTTCCTTGTTAAATTTAGATTTTTTTTCCCATAGAATTTACTTAAAATGTAATTGTTATGGAAATTAATAATTTGGTACATGTTATCAGTGAAGGAGTAGCTAATTTTGACTGATTTCCTGCTGAATATCTTATTTAGAGGGGATTTTGTTAAAGTGTTTACTAATTAAGTTTAGAAAGTACTGTCTAATGTTGATACTTGACAGTCTGCAGAAGGTGGGTTGAACCAAGTGATTTTTCTTTTCCCATTTTTACACCTACATTCCACTTTTCATGTATCGGTATTACTAATTACTGGTTGTGTAAGACAGTTTACTTTTGAAACCACTTTTTTGGAGGGCCTTTTTGTATAGTTCTTTATTCTTATTAAAAAAATTTTTCATTGGACGATAGTTTACTAATCCTGGTACAAACGGTAGTGGGTATTTGTTTTAGGATTGCACTGGGGTGGTGTATATAAGTTTCATTAAAGATGACAATTGACAAGGTACTGCGAATGAGCTTTTTATGCAATTTTTCTTGCATTCATACAGGTGTTTTGTCTGGACATAAAGTGTTTAAAGACTGCCCAAGCACTTTCGGCAATTCTATAAGCCATTATCAATTCTTTTGTTTTTTTTTTAACTGACTATGCAGATTTTTGAGCATGTGTATCTACATATAAAAATCTATATATTCAGTTACAAATTAAAAAAAAAAAAAAAGACATCCTTGATAATGGCCAACAGAATAACCAAAAACAATTTATAGAACAAATGGACAGTTTTTACACACTATGTCCCAAAAAGAAAACACTTGTGCAAATGCAAGAAAAATTGAAAAAAGATTATATATAAATAATAATAGAAATAATAGCTGATATTATTCACAGATATTCAAGGACACCTGTCTACTAGGGCAGCTAGTCAATCCCTATTGAAGATGCCTACTCAAGTGCAATTATGTTGGTTCAACACCCACAGATCCCACCTCAAACCCTCAGTCACAATCATTTGTGACTTCATGCTAGCACAGCCATCGACAGTCTCTAAGGGTTCCAACTACTCAATTTCACTCACAAGGCTTGGGTCACCCCATGGTATAGATTTCAGGCACTTACCAAAGGTGCCACATGCTGCAATTTTCCCCTCCAGACTAATAATATCAAGAAGTCTCCTTCTTGACAAATCAACCATGGTGAGATTTGAACCCGGGTTTCATGGTCAGAAAGCAAATGTTCTAACCACTCAGCCATGTGCATACATACATCTACCCTAAATTTTCTTTAAACTTAACTCAAAAACAAAGGATTTGTAGAAATATGTTTATTTGAATAACAAGAAATTATGGGTTTAACAGTTTTCTTTTAATTTTTTTTTTAATTTTTTTTACATTTTTGTAATCATGTATCTTGGCATGGAAAAGTTGTAATTTTTTTCAGGAACGGAGATATTAGAAAACTCCAAGACGCAGATTTATATTTTGATAAGATTCAATAGCAGCACTCTCGAGAATTTTTTCTAAATAAGTTATATATATTTCATAGTCTCCTCATATATTAGAAGAATTCAGTGGATTCATAAATTTATGCTACTTACACATCCCGTTTGCTCAAATACTTTTATGAAATAAAAGAAAATCACTTTTATTACTGAGCAAATAAAATTATTAATCCATTTTCTAACCTAAAAAAAGAAGTAACCATTTTGCCTTTAACAAAGCAAACAAAAACACCTAAATTGTATATAAATCACATCAATGTCATTTAAAAGGTATTCATAAAATATTAAATTTAGAAACGGAAGATCTATAACTTAAACACCAAAAATTTGTATACAACTAATGCACTGCAATCAACTGTCAGACAAAAATATTTTCTTTTTTGCTTATTTTATTGTTCAAAGAGAAGACAGGATAAAAATTTTTTTATCATCAGTCAGATTACAGTTGGTACATTTGTTTTACCTTAAATTTCTTCTTTAAAAGCTTTTTTTTTTACTTTTTTTTTTTAAAAGTATTACAATAATTTCAGTTGCAGTTTCCCACCAAAAGAACACCAAATTTTATGCAGACCATTTTTTTTAAATCTGCCATTATGAAATCTTGCC